GTGGTCAGGGTATGGTTCTGTAACCAGCGGCAGAAGCAGAAGCGCATGAAATTCGCTGCCCAACATTGACCCGAGGGTGGCTTGTGACAGCAAAACTGACCGTATCAGTTGCCCAGTCTCGAGCCTAAACCAGAGCCCTTGACCGAGTTCCAGGGGTGGCCGTAAACGAAGGGAAGGGAAGACGGTAGCGGAGACGGTAGCGGGGATCGAGAATTCCGTTCCATCGGTGGACGGTTCGAAAAATCGTGGAGGAAGGATGGATGGATGGATGGAGCGACGTTTCTCGATCTCGAGTGGAGATCCCGCTAATCGATGGCTGGCTCGACGCTGTGGCTGTAAGCAAAGTCAAAGACTGTCACAGGCTTAATAAAACCGTATTATTCGATATCTCGCGATCATTGCAAGCGCGTGCGATGCTCTCGACGACGCGTCATCTGCCGGCGGATTTTTACACCGGTGTAAACCGACGATACCCGATCGCTTGCCCCCTTTCGCCAACTCTTCCCTCTTTCTTCCCCGCTTCCTTCGTTCGTCCGATTTATTTTCGAGAAGAAATTGGACGCGATTGGACGAGATGCTCGGCTTATTAAAATTTCTAGAAATCTATTTTTCGAGAGAGAGAGAGAGAGAGAGAGAGAGAGAGAGAGAGAGAGAAGGGATGCGTGTTGTATTCGAGCTATATCGCGCGAGAATATCGCGTGAAATGGCGTGAAAGGACCGTGACGTCAGGAAAGGCTGGATCAAATCATCTGTAAAGTGAGATAGAATTTGCGAAACGTATCGGCCACGATCGATGCGATAAAAAAGTTTACGAGCGTATCATCCACCCTTGAACCAACCTCGTCTGGAAATCGTCCTCGATTTTCCTCCACCGAACTTTACTCCAATTTATCATTTCCAAAAAGTCCCTTTCTTCGAATCCCCATCTTCCGGTCGTTCGTTAACGAATTAAATATATCAAAAATTTATTCCAAATAAATTTTGCGCACTTTAACGTCATAAAAATGAGAATGTGATCGATTGATCGCAAGTAATTAGGAAGCAATTGAGCGAAATCGAAAAAAATCATGTTTCAAATCGCAAAGATGTGGAAGAGGATCTTTTTTCGCGAATGAAGGGAAGCGATCGATCGCAACGAAGTAATCGTCGAATGCGTCTTGGAAAGTACAATTCGAAACATAAAAATATAAAAAGTACGTATTGTTATAATAATCGACGCGTGGATACGATCGCGCCGAAGAAAATAAAAGTGATATTAATCCTAATGAAGACACTCGGTGCAGTGTAAAAAGAGAAAAAAGTGAAAAGTTAGAGAGAGAGAGAGAGAGAGAGAGTGTGCGCGTGGAAAGAGCAAGAATGAAAACGTACACGATATACTCGATCCCGGAACGAATCTTTCTCCTTCTCTAATGTTACGTCGCGCTCGAAACGAAATTTAACCGAACATTTATTCCGCGATAATAAAATAGAGAACGATTCGAAGAAAGTTTCTCTCAACAATGAATTCTCAACAAAATTCAAATTCATCGTGCTTTCATTGGCGAATAAAATATTTGAACGTAATATTTTCCTTCGATTCAAGGAGCAAAGCAAGGATTTTCGATTCTTATAATTATGAACGAACGAGCGTATCGTGCACACCGTTCCATTTCCAAACGTTGGGGATTCGTTCCGGTGGCGGTGTATCGATTAGCGAAATTGCGCGAGGCAAGGATGAAAGAGCGTGAAAGGGAGTGAGAAAAACCGAGATGGGAAGAAGAAAAAAAAAGGGGGCGGGGGGGGGAGGGGGGGAGAGTTAAGAGGATGTATTACGTAGTGATATTGGACAATCAGTGAAAAGACTGTATCATATCATATTGAAGCAATACAGTAGTATTAGTCGACGAATTAACGAACTTTATTTGTACTTTTCGCGATCAACCGCGCCTCCCCCTTGACCGAAGGAAACGAACGAGGCGGCGAGCGAAATTTCGAAAAAGGAAGAAAAAAGAAAGAAGACATTTCGGTTAACTTCATCATAACTTCTACGAAGTAAAAATAAATAAATAAATAAATAAAAAATATAAATAATTATATCGTGCAATATTTTCGAAAAAAACGATCGGGGAAAATAACAAACAAACGACTTCGCACTTGGCGAGTCGGGAGTGCGGTTGATCGCTCGAACGAAACACTCAGAAATTGATATCTCTCGACTCTCGAGAAAAAGGTCGCTCTCTGTACATTTTCACCAGCGCGGGTGTGATTATATTTTTTGTTTCGATCGAACGATTTCGTTGTCCCCCTCGTCGTGACAACGGGATTCGTTTAAACGCGAATTAAAAAAAAAAAAAAGAAGAATAAGTAAATAAATAAATAAATAGGGAGCGAGAGAGAGAGAGAGAGGGAGAGAGAGAGAAACGAAATCCTCGTACATACAACTACATGCATGCATGCCACCGAGCCGATCACCGGCCGGGATCGTTCCGGGAATCGGATCGAGCCGGCGACGTATGATCGAGGCTAGTGTGAAAAAAAAAAATAACCGCGGTTACATGTGTGTGCGTAATACAGGTGTGTGATCGGGCTCGAATATCCGCGTGCAGTATCGAGCAATATCGCGAGGATGTTCGCCTACGAACGAGGAAGAGCGACATTGTCATTGTACTAGTTAAAATGTAAGCGGAAGGATGGTAGCCATTTTTAAATTGTACATACGTAAGAGGATAGGTATTTTCTAGAAGAATAATAGTCTATTGCCATTCTGCTAGGTGATGGAGAGAGCAAAAAGAAAAAAAAAAAAAAAGATTCTAGTGCAATATAGAGTTTAAAGACACATTATTATTATTATTATTATTATTATTATTATTATTATTATTATTATTATTATTATTATTA